AGGTTAGTAGTTTAAAGCTCTGCATTGAAGAGCTAGCGTGACAGAGTGGCTTTGGCTGAGCACGCTCCATCTGCAGTTACCTGCCTTTTTTTTTTTTTTATACCTCGTGCTCATTAAAGAATCCAAATGTCATTATGCTTGCGTGCACGTCAGATTCTGCATTTTTTAAACTCAAACTACAGAGCCAGAAGACTTCAGAACAATCTTCAAATGAAGGCTCAAAAGCATCTTCAGGGCTTGCTCAGCCTGACAGCCTCACAGCTTTAACTGTTTGACAGATGGAAAAAGGAGGAACACATGACAGCTGACATTAAGTCTTCAAGATTTAATATAACTAAAACACATACTGCAGGAAATTAAAAAAAAATTTAATAGAGAATTTTGTAAGAGTCACTTCCCCTCTCTCTGCATTTTCTCTCTCCTTCTAAACCAACCAAACCATACCCAAACCCAGAGCAGAAGGGCTCCTTTGTGGTTCAGAACTACTCTTTATACTGAAAGCAAAGATCTTTCCCTCCCTCCCTGCCTCATTCCACAGTTCATGGAGATTGAATAAATAAATATAAAATTACCATCTCTGTTAACTTCTGAACTGGTTCAGTCACGGTGCCAAGAGCACACAAGAGCCCTGAAGAAACTTCATCTTCAGCTAAGCGGGACAGCTGTCTGGTCAACTGGCAAAGCAGACACAGGTTTGGGCAGTTCACATTTCTGCAATTATCAAGAAGGACTTTGGGGCTCAGTAAAGTTATGGTAAGGAGCCCCAACAACCTAAACATATCCTTCTCACTGGCATAACACGCCTACAGGACTTCCTTACTGGAGAGCTGAAAAAGGGCCCCACCAATTCCTGCCCAAAGTTAAGCTATCCAGCTTTTTACATTTCATTTGATAGCAGTTTCCCTCTCAGCTGACGATTCCTTGACTTGAAGAAAAAAAGACAACATCATTCTGACCACCCTCATCACCTCCTGCAGAGAGGAACTTCAAGCTGGCAGCCAGGGAAGAGCAAAGATAGAAATGGGGCTTCCAGAGCATCCCCTTTCCCACAGCATCCCAAACCCCATGGCTGGGGCTCCTGCACAATTGCTTTGAAAAGCTGGTGAAATCAATGGCAAGGTACAGTTAATTCTGTACAGACTTCTGCTGGAGATCAAAGTTACTTTAAAAGCCTCTGGACTCTTTTAAGTGAAGAGGTCAGACAACCTTGGCGTTAAAAGTGTCTAGGACCGTGTGACCCAGACCCATTCGCAGAGGCGTGCAGGATTTAAGGACGTGGATTTTCTGATCTTCAAGTTTCCCACTAGGCATACAACTTACTCCTTCTGATTAATATACTTGGCTGGGAATGTCAGATAATAAATACTACAGGCAGCTATGAATTATAAGCATTTAATACTGGACACATGCAATTCACCTGCAGTTGCAAATATGAGAAAGCTGTCGAAGGAAACTTGCCGAGGAGGACACTACAGCCCTAACGTTTCAGCTGATGCTTAAATAAAGTTCAGGTTTAGAATATGTTCATTTTCAGCTCCGAGCAGCACATCCCAATCTACTGTTCATGCTTGAAAGGTCAAAGCTTACCGGCTCCCACAGATCTTGCTGCTTTCTGAAAAACACCTTGTGCGCTCAGGTTATTCCAAATAAGGCTTGAAATTAAAACTAAGACTTTTAAACATTATATTTCATCCATCTCAACAAAATCTGCTGATTAGCATAGGGTTTTCTTTAAAGATATTTATATGTCTTGAAAACAGCAACTAAGCTGACAGAAGGACAAAACAACACATTAACCATCACAAGCATAGAAGCCTGACCAAGCATTTCTGCCATTCCACCCAAGGAACTAATTTGATCACACCTATGTCAGCAATCCAGCATCCAATTAACACTTAACAGCAGCACTTTGGACCAACTCTGCTTTTATCAACTACTGTTTAAACTCCCCCCCTCCTTATAATGACCTAAATTAGCTCAGTCATTTCTGATCTATCAGCAACCATGAACATTCGGTTCAGCTCCCTGATCACTGAACACCAAGGACATTAAAGCATCAGTTGCAAATTCTCTGTATTTATTCTCAGGCCCAGCAAAATGCAGAGTATACGGCAGAACTAGCTGCTTTACGTTGCACTATACTGAAACCTCCGAAGCACAACAAGCACTGCCATTCAGAGCTGCTGTTCCCATTCTTCAAGCTTTCATAACCTGGCTATTTCCAGAGCCCTCTGTTATCTGTGTTTCCCCAGACAGCTCTGCCACTCTCAGACCCAGCTGCAGAAATTCATTAAAAATCTGTGAATGCCGATTTGTTCGCTGTTTGCTGCCTCCCCTCCACTGCTTTTTGTGAGGCTTGTTCTTTGAAAGAACAAAAGAACAGAGCAAGATGGAAAAGGAGAAGGGAGGAGGGATGGCACCCAGATTAAGCAAGCTGGTATAACACAGCATTGTAAATTAAGATCCTGTAAACAGAAGATGCCTTAGGAAAACAAAAGTAGAAGGTTAAAGTCATTAAGTTCATAATGCTCAGCCAGCAGTGCAGTGAAACCATCCGCATTGAATGGTGCCTCCGAGGGAGCGTGCACCGCTGAAGTTTCCATCCTAAAGGACCTGACAGCTGCCAAGCAACTCCAAGAAACTCCACGTCACATCAGCTGAGCAGATCACCGATTCCTTGGGCCGTACCGAAGATCCTGCCTGTCGCTAATAAATAACCACCAACTCCAGCAGAGGTGCCGTCACAACCTGCCCCGAGCTACGCTGGCTGGTCTCATTGGCTTCTTGCAACTTCGCAATCAAGTCAAATGAGATCGAGTTTTGTAATAAAACCCTGCCAATGAAACGGCCGGTTCTAGATAAAGTGATCTCCATGGATCGAGGCAAGGCGCAGCGCGATGAAATCCCCGTCACGGCACAGGACTGAGGCGGCACTGGTCACCGCTCACGGATGGAGCGAATCTGGAGACCCTGCAGCCTGTGCTCCTGGTGCATTTAAGGGAGGCTCCACCGAGGGCAATTCAAAGCAGCTCTTGACAGTGACTAAAAAAGGACTCTGAGGAGAACAGCTGCCTTAAGTGGGCACCAAAGATTAGATGTCCAGAGTCGCAGCACAGATTCCACCTCCCCCTTCCCTCTGGTAATTCCATATGCCTGTGTATTTGCACGACACACACAGTTAACCTATCTAAGTAGCAACATTACCATAGAAAATGATACCTAAATTCCCAAGTCCCAATAAAAGGAAACCCATTCTGTGATTGTTCAGTGATTTCTGAATCTTATTTTTCAAGCAGCATGCAATATACAGAAGGGGAAGCAGCATAACCATCACCATCCTGCAGGAAAGAAAGTCCCCAAATCACCCCTGTATTTGTGACAGGAGGAGATGCCGCTGTTCTGCTGAGATGAAGGGATGTCTGTCACAGAGCAAACATGGAACCGCCTAGCAAAAAAAAATAGTGCTCTAGATCCCTCACCCGGCAAGTCACAGGTGAAACTGTAATTACAGCGGGACTAGGAGGAGATACAGTGGGTCTAACATCCCCACAGGCAGCATAAAACTGTCATTTTGTCAGAAGATGGGTGTATCTCCAAGTAAAGATGTGGATCTTATGCCTGATAGTTTCAGCAGATGTTCTCTACTCCTTTTAAAGACAAGAAATACATGAACTCTCACTGCAAATCACCCTTGTAAGTAGTATACAAAGTGATAAATGCGATACAATATACCCTTTCAGCCACTTCTTCCAAGCTGAAAAATCACAGTCTGTTCTGTCAGACAGAAGCCCTTTCATTCCCTTGATTACATCCTCATACTTCCCTATCTTTTATTTCTGATTTATCATTCTTTTCAGGTTGATTGATTAGAGTTACTGTAGCGGAACATAACATCTAAAATCAGATGCTGAGCAAAGAGGCAGGCAGGACATCAAATGAGAAGATCCTATGAATATTTGCTGAGCATCCTATTGACTTGGCTTGGGAAGGACTGAATCATTTACACAAACTCCATCAGTCCAGAAGTGGGTACGCACAGGCATGCTGAAATGTCACACCCACAGAGGTAACTGTGCTTGTCAAGCTCTTGATGCAAAACGTGCCCTCAAGAGCTTTACCTACAGCATTAAGACAATAAAACGAATCACACAGCGCCCAGCGCGCTGGCTTTGGTGGAGCAGGAGTGCTAGGAAGGAGCTGTGCCACAGCAACACCCTCACTTCTGGCTTTGCTGCTCAACAAGCGGCATACAACAGTGCAATCTGTGCGTAGTGGGCATCCATCTAGCAGGCCCAGCTTCAACTTCTCCAAGAAGAAAGGAAAGAAAGGTCTTTTCCACTGCAAGAGAAGCAACGGGTGGTAAATGACAGTTCAAGAAGGAAAAAACCCAGGAGGGACGACGCACAAGAGGGCCCCCACACCTGACTGACAAACAGCTACTTCTCTTAAAATTCGCTCAAACGTCCAAGCTGCCGTTTCCTGGGGATACACAGGACATCTCCACCGCCAGCCACCCGCTGAAAAAGGAACAACCATCAACTGCCGTAGCAAAGCTCCCCGGCTTTAAAGCACAGACAACATCTCTATTTCAGTTCGCTAACAAAGCTCTGGAAGCCACTATAGACACCACGGAGACTTAAAGCCTTTGATAGGGCTTTGCCTATCTGCAGGCTCAGAGGGCCAGCTCACTTTACAAAGCCGTTTATGCAAGAAATGGCCTGAAAAGAGTTCCTTCAGAGCTCACATCCCCAAGACCTGAGCCAGAGCCCGCCTTCCAGTCGATTAGAAAACCAACACTTCCAAGCTGACAGAAGTCCTTTGGAAATGCAACGGTAATCCTGCACTGAAGGCCAGAGCATCCTCCCCTGCGGCTGACTCAAAGTTCCCAGCGCACAAGCATTTATTAATATCCAGAGTTACTGCACAGACAAGCAGCAGAGGTTAGGAGAAGGCAACCGCATCAGCAGTGTGGCCGTTCCACAGAGGAAGAAGCGTCCTACCTAGCAGTGACTCTGTCGGCTTCATCTGGAAACAGAAAAATGCGAAAACCGGGCTGGGGCAAAGCAGGAGGCAGGGTCCGGGATACCGCAGGGCTGCAGCCAGACTCCAAGCGGTGAAGCGCTCTGCGGATCCCCCTCACCAGACCCTCCCGCAAGCGGGGGTACCCCCCGCGGAAGCAGCCGTCCCTCCCCAGGGCCGAGCCGCACCCCCAGCGCTCCCCGGTGGCCTGCGAGGTTGAACACCCCCCTCCCCACCC